GGAAGGCTGTTTACCCTCAGTTCTCTAGTTGCAGCTCTTCCCGCCACACCCTCCTCCCGTCCCCAGTTTCTCTTTGAGCTTGGGTATAGGTGTGCATATGAAGGTTCATGTTTGGGAAGAAAGGGTGTGGATATGCTCAAGGATCCCCCCAGGGATTGTATCTGCACCTCCAGCCCTTGGTATGGAGCCTAGCACACGGCAGGTGCTCAGGATGACCTCACACCTGGGTGACTGAGCCCCTCCCTCATTGCCAGAGAGTGACCCCCTCCTACTCCAGGACAGTGGGGGTTAAGGATGTGGCTGGAAAACAGCTGATCCAACTCACCTTCTCAGAGGAGCACAGATTCAAAACCTGGGAGGCTCTATGCCCAGAAGGGACCAGTCCCCAGTTCTTCCAGGTGGCAGTTTTCCTTGATAGCAATTGGTCATTCTCCGGCCTCACCTGGAAATTTCTGAGATTTCCTTACTAATGCCAAAGAGAAGTATGTACTGATGTACTAATGTACCTTTGACCAGGAAAGAGGCCGCATCCTGGGGAAAGTGGAGTAAAAGGAAGAGTATTTTGATTGGATTTCTTCATTCCTTGGCAGAATACAGCCAACTTCTCTTCCAAGGGCTGGGCATGCTGAGCTCTGGGTTGGGCAGGAGGTGGGGGAGAGAGATGCTGAGGACACTCCCCTAAGGACCATGCTTGTAGTTTTTCTATAAATCTATGTCCACAAACTTAGAGAGTTCCATCACGTGCCAAGCCTGAAGAAGAGGGGTGGTCTGAGGGTACCAAAGGGTTGACACATCACCTTTGCCTTTGAGGGGGAGGCCCTGCTGGTGAGAAGAAACTCAGGCAAGGCCAGCTATCCCTAGCAGCAAACACAACGTAGACAGGACGTTTCTGGAAAATCCTCCCCTGCAGCTTTTTTCCCACTCGTCAACCAGAACTATTCATATTTTTAAAATGTGGAAATGTACGCTTATTCAGTCATTCAGCAAATATTTATTGAGTGTTCCCCCAAACAAAACCGAATATGTGCTGAATGTCATAATTCGTGGGATCCTGGACCACACCTTATCTTTCAGGTTGCACTGGGCTTTACCATGGTAGCCTCAGTCTCTGCATTTCCCTGTGCACGCAGGTCTCTGAATTCCCAAATGTTTTCTCTTCAGTACCTGCTTTTTCTGAGTCCCACTGAACCAGTGATTGGCAAGTAGTGAATTCATCGACTGGGAAATCAAGTCTCTCCACTTGCTTACCCAATTAGCAGAAGCCCATCTGTCTGTTCTGGTATATTTTCTCTCTCTCCCCCCTCTCTCTGTGTCTCTCTCTCTCTGTGTGTCTCTCTCTCTCTCTCTCACACACACACACACACACACACATTCTGTAACACAGAAGACAGGGACTATTCCTTTGCAGACAGATGGAATAATGCATGGAGAGATAAATTCACTCTGTTAGAGCAAGTCCAGTGAGGGAAGGATACCAAGCCTTCCAGGTTCCTGGTCTTTCTTATGTACACAATCCCTCCTGGAGGGATTTAAGAGGCAAGGGGCTCCCCTACCAAGACCCCCACCTTACCCATAAATCAGTTTCCAATCTAACCCCTCCCTGGGGGTTGAGTTACAAACCTCAGTAACCCCGGGGCAGCCTGCCTGGTAATTCCTATTATTCAGCTGTCAGCTGGTTTTTTAAAAACCTCCCTTCCCAGTGATCCAGTTACCGGAGTTTCAGAACCCGTTCCTTGTCTCAGGGAGAAATCCTATAGCCAGGTGAAACAATGGAGAGGGCTCCTGCTTTCTAGAGGGAGCTTGGGTTTTCTCTTCTGTTGAAAGCAGCCTCCCCTTAACTCTTTGCATCCCTCCCAGATTGCAGGGTAAGGTCTGCAGGCCTCTCTCAGGCTCCCACGCTCATGCCTTTCAGAGCAACTTTCCTTTCTCTGGGCAAAGTTTTACCTCCTTCTAGAGCCAGCACCAGCCAGCAGAGGAGAAAACAAATTGAGGCAAGGGGTGGGAAGAGAAAGAAAGAAGAGATTCTCCAAAATAAAGGTTGCTGCGGCTGCAATGTGCTCCGAGCCCAGTCAAAAGCCCAGGGTTCATCTGTTTGTAGGGTGCTGCTGTTGGTCGGAGGCTCCAAGCCCCAATCTCCAGCCCAGGGGGTCCTGACACTGCTGAGTCTGCCCTGTGCCAGAAGGAGAGAAAGGGCCCAGAGGGAGGAGTCTGCTTTGACAGCGATGAGAGGTGGAGAGTGAGGCTCCTGACCTCCCTGACCCCTTTATCCCTGACAGTCTTTTCTGGTCCCTCCAGCTCAGAAGGCTGGGCCCTGCTGCTTGACCTTAGAGGCTGAGAGCGCAGGAGGCCAAGCCACCGGTGTCCTTCAGAACCAGCCTGAGGGAGCAGGCTGGGAAGGCCTGGGAGAGAGGTCTTAGAAGAAACGTCACTAGAGGGTGTGACCCTTCCCCCATCTTGCAAACTGGCCAGACCCACTGAGATGATCCCCTCTGCTCCCCCACCCCATTCCTCTAAGTGATGACTTTTAACCCTTTATAGGGAAAACTGTTGCAAGCTATGGAGCTACCCCCCGCCAAACAAATGTTTGTGTGAACCCACAAAAAATTTAGCCAGTTTCAGGGGTTCACAGACCCTAAAGCTGAGGAGATCCTGGTGAGTCTGGCGAATACGTGGATCCCAGGTAAAAATCTTGCTCTACCACCTTCCTTGCCTTGTGGACCCAATTCCACCCTGCAGGGCTGTGATGAAGCAGACAGGGCTTTAGCAGCTCCGGTGGGTCAGGAGAATTAGGATGACCCCTGCCCCCTGGGGCCTGTGCTGCCCCACTGGACAGATTCAGAGCTGCTTTGCCCATCAGTTCTACTCTTGACCCTAATGATGCTCATAGGCCCCACGGGCCAGCCTGAGACACCGGCCGAGGAGGAAAGCCAATAGGAAGAGACGGATGGGGCCGGCCCTGTGGCATAGCGGTTAAGTGCGTGTGCTCTGCTGCTAGCAAAAAGAGGAGGATTGGCATGGATGTTAGCTCAGGGCTGATCTTCCTCACAAAAAAAAAAAAAGAAGAAGAAGAGAAGGATGGAAGGAAGGAGGGGAAGGAGGTCTGTGCGTGGTGAACATGGTGAAGGCTCCTCCGTGCCCTACACAGAGGTTGGGCTTAGTCTCCTTATCTCCCCATGTATGGCATGAGTGCAAGGTCACCCCAACCAGCTCTGACACTCCCTCTTGGCCAAGCCTCCCGGTAAAATAATATACTTCCTTTTGGCTTTGGCAGCTCTTTCTAGACATCCATCGACTCCTGGGGGGACTCGGCTGCTGGTGACCCTTGACTCTCCCCTCTTTCCCTTTTCCCTCTTCTCCATCCTTTGGGGACAGTATTTTCTTATTTGAGCAACCACAGTCCTCAATATGCCTGGTTCACTCTCCTTCAGGTACCTTTTGCAAGAGCTATGGAAAGAATGGGTAGGGAAAATGTTCAAGGAGACTTCAGGCTCCTCTGGGCTAAGGGTCCCAGCTCCACTTAGCTTAAATCTGAGTTTATGACCCAGAGACAGCAGCTTGGTGGTCAGAGCACTGCCAGTCCCCACATCTGCTCGGGAGTCAGGGCCCATCAACGCTCACCTAGTCTGTTGCAGGCACTGGCTCCCTCTCACTGATTTCTGGCATCTTTATTTATCTTTCCTAAAATTCAGGCTTGGTCAAGTCACTCCTCTTCTATAAAATCTTTGTTCCTCTTTGCCTCCAGAATAAAGTACAGATTCCCCAGCCTGGCATCCCAGAGACACCTCTGTTTCTGACCTGACCCTACCTGTCCATGCCCACCCTCCCTGAATCCTGGTGTGCACCTGATGATCCCGTCCCCCAGCCTGCCCCTGCTCCTAGGACAGGTTTTCCAGTTTAACAGTTTAATCTTCTACCCCTAGGCCTGGGCTGTTTTATCTGGTTTTCCTTCTTGAAATATTTCCCCATCCTTCAAGGCCCAACTCAAAAGCCATCTCCCAGTCTTTGCATTCTGAATTTTTCTGCGTCTCCCAGCAGTTATTATCCCTGGAATTAACACATTTTGTGCTGCTTTCCATCAATTTCAGTCTACCTCTCCAAGCAGACTGTCAGCTCCCTGAGTGCAGGCACCAGGTTTCTGGCACCTAGCCCAGTACCTGACACAATGTGGGCATTCAATAAATGTTTGTGAAACAGCCCTTGATAGTACGCAATCGGCAGGACACGTTGCTCTCCTGGCAGCACCAGCACCATCTCTGGATGCTGCCATAAACAGGATGCGTATCAACCGCCCAAGTAGCCCCTGCATTCTTGATCTCGCCTCTCCTCAGCTAGACGCTTCTTTTCTGAGCGTCCAAGCCCAGTCAAGAAGAGGATATGAGGGTCCCTTTGGACGTGTTTGATCTGAATGTCACTCACTAACAGCGCCAGATACACGTGTTCTCACGCTTCCTACAGCTTTGGGGCTGGAGTTCTCTTCTGACCCGCTCGGCAGGCGGGAGGGTGTTTTGCCACCAGCTCGGAATCCACAGCGACACGCACCTTGCATCCACTGGATGCCGCCAGCCTCGTCTAAAAGGCTCGCCGCCTCCTCTTCCCCTCCCTTTCTGGATGCGCGTAATTATTCAGTCTATTCCCGAGAAAGAGAAGACAAAAGTCTCTTTGGCGCCCCCTCTCTCCATCCTAATAGAGAGGACTCAGGGACTCTCCAGCGCTTCCCGAGCCTGCGTTAGGAATCTGCGCGGGCGACCGCGCTCCAATTGCGTTTCTGGAGGGGGTAGGAATTTTGCTCGGCCCCTTGCAATGTTTCCAAAGGAAGGTTCGTACATTCGTGACCGTCCCTGGCAGCCGCCCAGCCCGGGACTTGGGGCTCCACTTGCCATTGGCCAGCCGTCGGCGTGACGCGCCGGAGGCGGGGCCTCATCAGCTGTTTGCGGGATGCCCCGAGCGGGCGTATTTTGGAAACAATACCGCGCGGTACAGAGTGGCCTCCTCCCGCGCCGGCCCGCCCGCTGCCGCCGGCGCCCCAGTCCGCGCCTCCCGCCTTCTGCCGCAGCCGGGTGAGCGCCCGGGCGGCAGAGGGCCGGGCGGAGTTGGATCGCACCTTCTCGGGGAAGTGGGGAGAAGAGTCGCGCTGCGTCTGGGGGCCCGGGAAGGGTTGGGCTGCGGGCTTCTGGGGTGACCATGAAGGACTGGGGCGCTGGGGTGCGGGAATGGGGTGCAGAACCCACATCTGGGTGCGTTGTTCCACGAGGGAACTTGGGGGTTCTAGCATTTGAGACTCCGAGGCGTTGGGTCCAGGTGGGCAGGGTAACCTGCGGTGCACTGTTGAGCAGACCTGGGCGCCCAAGAACGGCCCGGCCTCTGGGTCTGCCTTTGGGGTAGGGCAGGGAGTTGTGGGCTGTGCTGCCTCCCTGCAGAGTCTGAAGGCGCCTCTCCTTAACAGCTGGGCTTTTTCCCTCCTTCCCAATTGAGTCTGGGCGCCAAGCCCCCAAGTGCTCGTCACGCTGGACCCTGGCGCGGAGCCCTGGCATCACGACTCGGAGGCCGAGACTCTCTCCTGGAGTCACCCAGGTCTGCTGTGTGTTGTGTGAGTGCGTGTGTATGTGTGCGTTCCCAGATTTTAGTCGCTGCCGAGGTTCAGAGTGTCTGGCTACTGCCTTCTCCTGGGAGGAGTCGTCGAAGTTCAGCATCCCTGTTAGAGCCCTCAGGGGCTGGGAAGGCTCCAGCGGGCTTTAGTTCCCCTTGCTAGGAATAAAGCCTTCCCTGGCAGTGTTCTTAGGAAGTGCCCTTCTCCCACCAGTTTTGATATCAGCTTTTCAGCTCAGGGGAAGGAGGGGGAGAGGGTCTCTTTACTGTATCCCAGCTTACACTTGACCTTGCCCAGCACCCCTCCGGAGGCACCCACCTACAGAAGAGCCACCTGCAGTTCCTGTGGAGAGTGGGAAGGGTCCCCTGGGCTTGCAGAGCCACACCCTCTGGCTGCACCTCCCCCACCGTCCAGCCAAACAAGGGTTGAACTTTGGGGCTTTGCTGGGAGGGGGAGGGGGAGGTGACGGGCTTCAAAGGAAAAACCAAGACAATGACTCCTGCTTGTGATTGGCTTTGGAGGGCCCCTTCTTAGGTTGGGATTGCCAGCTTACAGAGAGGAGGTTGAAGGGCAGGAGGGGAGCCCCTGCCAGTTGAATGGCAGGACAGCACTTGGTCCTTTTCAGTGGGAAACTTTGTTTCCTGGTGCTGATAAACTGGAGTTCTCCCACCCACCTTTGGGAAACACTATCCAAAGAACACCATGTGCCTGTTTTGCCATCCAAGTGGGCATCTCCTCACTCTCCAGGGAAGAGGGCAGAGATAGGACCATCGATAGCTCAGGGACCGGATGGGATGGAGGGAGGGTTGAAGCAAGTAGAGAAATGGCATTTGGGAAAGGCAGGATTTCTGAATTTAACGGAGATTAGTTTAAGTACTTTACCAACCCACAGACCATTTGGCTTGTTCTTCAAAGGCAAGAGACTGGGAGACAGAATTCCCAGGGCATCTCTAATTGAATCTGACAGTGACAAAACATTGTCTCTCTATATCCTTAACCACTCATTGCTGCTTCTGGCTGCCCCAGGGGCCCTAAGGGGTTCCTGGTGTGTGTGTAGGGGGCTGGGTTGGGAGCTCAAGTTGCTGGGTAGTTCCAAGCTCAGACTTCCAAGACCATCAGGTGGAGCAAGAGGAACTTCTTTATCACCAAGAAACTCGTATCAACAACCTAGTAGTCTATGCTGGGAGTGAGGTCACAGAGAGAGGGCTGAATTTCACTTCCTTCTGTGAGTCAGGTTGTACCAATCTCAGGTTGGGCGCTGGCAGGAATGGTAGGCTGTGGGGAAAGATTTGAAGTCTGGAGACTCGTGAGTAGACTGAGCTGGGGGAGGCTGGCTACTTTGCTGGACCTGCCCTTGAGTCCAGGCTGTGGTGGGCAGACAGCTCTACTCTGCTGAGAGGGTGGCTGCAATGACGAACTTAGGTCTTTCTCCCCTGTCTCTCCAAGGACACACTCTTACCACACCTCCAGCCTGTTTGTTGTCTTGAGCAAGCAGGAGGTGGAGACGAGAGTAGATGAGCAGCTGGGCGGGGCTTAGCAGGTTTGGAGGGAACCTGGCTGCTCTAGGATTGCTGGCTTTTGTTTTTGCTGCTGAGCCTGGAGCTCAGCTCAGACCGAGATGAGAGCTTGGTGGTTACTGCTCAGGGCAGTGTGTGTGTGTGTGTTGTGAGCACTGTGTGTACAGCCAGTCACAGCACCCTTCTGCCCTCCCACAGTCACTCACAGAGGCTTGTCTTGTCCACATTTCCCCAGCTACCCTTCGTATCTGTAGCAGCTGATCCTGCCCCTGCTGTTGCTCAGTCAATAGCAGCCAAACTTCATGACTGGGACTGGTCTGGGACAGAAGAAGAGGCTGAGGGGAGGGTTGGCTCTGGGTGGGCGCAGGGAAGAGGTATGGAGAGTCCCTGAACAGTGAGGCAGTCCACATCTGGGGGCGGGTGTCACTCTTGGCAGTGCTTGTCTGTCATCAGTACCTGGCCCCACTTCCCAAGATAAGAAAGGAGAGCAGGAAAGAAGGAAAAGGAGGGGATTCCTTCCAGGTCTGGTGTGAGTGGAGGCAGCATGCCCGATGCCTGCATTGTGCCCTGACAGGGGACATGGAGCCGCCTCAGTGTGTAGAGGAGCTGGAGGATGATGTGTTCCAGCCAGAGGATGGGGAGCCGGGGACCCAGCCCAGGAGCTTGCTCTCTGCTGACCTGTTTGCCCAGAGCCAGCTGGACTGCCCCCTCAGCCGTCTGCAGATCTTCCCTCTCACCCACTGCTGTGGCCCCGGGCTTCGACCCACCAGCCAGGAAGACAAGGCCACCCAGACCCTCAGTCCAGCCTCCCCGAGCCAGGGTGTCATGCTGCCTTGTGGGGTGACTGAGGAACCCCAGCGACTCTTTTATGGTGAGTGCTCTTTGCCTCAGGACTCCTCCCATAGAGACTGGGGGAAAAGAGGGGACTTTCCCTCCCCAAACCTGCCCCTTGCTATTTCCTTCCCTAAATTGAGCAAGCAGGGGTATTGAGTCCTCAACTCTCACCCTTCTGCCTCTCTGCTTGTTATTGCCCCTCACCTGTGCTCCTTGGGCCCCAAGAAGAGCCAGTTGCCCTGCCATTGTTTCTGCCCTTTTGTCCCTTCCTGGAGGGATCCTTGGGTCTCCCTGGTGTCTCCTTAGGTTGGAGGGAGGGTACCTGGGCTTTGGCTTTTACACCTGTGGCCCATTGAGTGGCCCAGCCTTTTGTGTCCTGGTAGTGATGTGCCTTCCATAAAGTGGCTAACGTTGCCCTGAAGAAGGTTAGGGGATCTATGACTCGCTGTTGACACTGGAGGGAAAAACCCAGCCTATTCTGGGAGGGAAGGTTCCTGAAGGCAGAAGGTGGCCCCCAATTGTCACTTGGGACTTTCTGTGCTTGGAAGGGGAACTGGAGAAAGAGGTTTGGCCTGCCTGGGCTCAACGCCAGCAGAGGGGCTGTTTCCAAGGCTCAGTCAGACAAGACCCCTTCATTTGTGGGCTTAAATGGTTTGTTTTATGAGCAGTATGCCCTCCTCTGGCAAAAGGGCAGGGTTAGACACTCAGTCTCTTTTCTTCTTTTAGCACAATAGCTGCTGGAGGGAGGGGAAGGTTCGGAGGCTATCTTGCTGTGTGTGACGGAGCAGATTGAGGAGATGCTGCGGTTATTCTTAGAGGGAGCGACTCCATAGGGCGATTCTGGCAAAGCAGTTCTGGTGGATGAGGCAGGCAGGCAGTGAAGAGGGACAGGAGGGAGCAGGCAGTGGGCGCCCCTAGCGGCAGCTGGATTGCCAGCTCTGGGTAAGTGAGGAGCCCGGGGCTGCCTCCAGAGAGGAACTTGGCTATTCTGTGGGTCTGAGGAGTTTTCTCTCCCTAATTTTTGTGCCACTGTCTAGAGCTTCAGGACCTGAGACCAGCCTTCTTCTGCTGCTCTAAAAAGTGAAGACCCTTTTTGGTTTTCTCTTTCTCTGTGCCTTGCTTTGCTCAACCCAGGAACTCTGGAGAGCTGCCTCCAGTGCTTTTCCAAAGAGGAGCTTCAACCCTACTACATGAATAATAAATTGTGGTCAATGTAGCTTGGTAAATAAGGACAGAAGGTTGGCACGTTCGCCTGTACATATTACCTTTGCCGTGGTTCTGCCAGTGACTGGAGAACTGAAGGGAAGGCTGGGACCATTCACTTCTGTTCTCCCAGCATCAACTTTTATATGCTTGGGCAGCAGGCAAGTCAGGCTGTCCAGATTTGGCAGAGTGCCCTGATAAAGGCAGGCTAAGTTCCTCTCCTTTATCATACTAGCATTTACCCTCAGCCCAGGTCTTGGCCAGGAGTTGCAGGCATGGGGAGGATGGGGCACTTATGGAGAATGCTGAGATGTGGGCCCTCTGTCTTTGCAGGCAATGCTGGCTACCGGCTCCCTCTCCCTGCCAGTTTCCCTGCAGGCTTGCCCCTTGGTGAGCAGCCCCCTGAAGGGCAGTGGCAACATCGAGCAGAGGTACAGATTGCCCGAAAGCTTCAGTGCATTGCAGACCAGTTCCATCGGCTTCATATGCAGCAAGTAGGCATGGGGCCTTGGGGGGTGGTGAGTCTGCTGGGGCTGGGAGGCCGGGGCCTGCCTCAGCCTCAGTCTCCACCTGGAGGATTAGGTCCTAGAGTTTGGGACTGATGCTGTTGTGATTCCTGTGGACTGGATGAGCCCGACTGGATGAGCACTCTTGCCCTGATCGCTGAGCTTCAAGTTGGTTATCTGCCTGCTCTCAGCTCAGGCTCCAGAAGAGCAGGGTGTCAGGATGCTGCAGTCCCTCCCAGGGAGTGGGGTGGCTTTCTGCAGCCTTGCTTGACAAACTGTCTCTTCTTGAGGCCTGGGTTGGGAGATTGTCCCACACAGACCTCAGGGGAAGATTTTCAGGGTGCTGCAGTGTAATTGGACAGTTGGGGTGCCTGGCTGAGGTGCAGTGGGAAACGGGTAACCAAGGCTGGGATGGGCCTGACTGGGGGAAAGTGGTGGAACCGGTTGTAACCCGACACTTTCCAGCTGGGGAGGCTGCTCCTCATTGTCTGTGTCTGGGAACTGGGGCCTGGGACTCGGGAGAGTGTACCTCAGAGAGTCTCTCCAGACCATCGGCCGGGCGCGCGGCCGGGTGCTTGGCCGGCAGCCTGGCACCAGCCCCGCCAGGGCGGAGCATCGCGTGTCGGTCGAGCATGTGGCAGAGTCCATCAACAAAGGCGGCGGCTGGCAGGCTCGTGCTGGAGGAGCCCTCCGTGCCACGGGCTGGAGGCTGCCCTGCTCTGCAGCCGCTGTCTGGGCCGGGCCCCAGGCACTTAACCCTTCCTCACTGGGCTGGCTTTCTGGACGGCTGCCAAGGCAGGGAGAGGAGCCCCAGGCTGGAACCGTGCTAGTACAACCACTGCTGAAGCAAAGGCACGCCACCTGAATTGAACACGGTCCTTACCTCTGGAACAGTGTCCCTGGCCCACCGGGCTGTGTGTGTGTGTATTTGTCTGTGTGTGTGTCTAGTGTGTCTGTCTGTGTGTATGTCAGGAAATCAAGAGAATAAATAATTCAGGGGCCAGCTCCGTGGCGTAGCGGTTAAGCGCGTGTGCTCCACTGCTGGCGGCGCAGGTTCGGATCCCAGGCGCGCACCGACGCACCGCTTGTCAGGCCATGCTGTGGCGGCGTCCCACATAAAGTGGAGGAAGATGCGCACGGATGCTAGCCCAGGGCCAGTCTTCCTCAGCAAAAAGAGGAGGATTGGCGTGGATATTAGCTCAGGGCTGATCTTGCTCAGGGCTGATCTTCCTCACGAAAAAAAAAAAAAGAATAAATAATTCACCATGATTGGTCAGACCCTGAGGTTAGATGGGTAACTTCAGGTGGTCAGAGGAGAGCTATTGGTAGTAGAAGGTTTGACTTAAGGGTCAAACCGTTGCCAGCACCAGAGGGAAGAGGAATTGACTTTAGAGTTCCTGAGAACAGGCCATCAGGGGTTAGATGTGGTTAGTGCCTCTGCCAAGGAGTTCTGAGGGAAGTTTGGGGCTAGACCTGGTCCTGGTGGCTCTCGTAGTCCCTTAGTGATCAGGAAGGGAGGGTGGCCCTATGCTTAGATAGTAAGGCAGCCTGGCCTCCTCCTCTGGCCCCAAGCTCCAATCCCTATTCCCTCCTTTGATTGGAAACTTGGCTTCGAGTTTCCCCTTCAGTCCCTGTGTGGACTTACTCTGATTCTTGATTTCTGTCTCTTGGCCTCCTGCCTGCCCATTCACTCTACCCTGGTTGTATGGGCCTGTGGCTGGGCCCAGCTCACAGCTTCCAGTCCTGGTGCTGGAGCTGATGGAGGACACAGTGGCTGTGGGTCTTCTAGACTCATCTAGAAGACTATCTGGAAGGCAGCTTTCTTCATTCCCAATAGACCTGATCTCTCCCAACACTTGTTTCCCAGAATGTACCCCAATCTGCTGTTGAGCCTGTGGGTTTGAGCAGGCTGGGAGCCCTCCCTTGCCCAGCTGTGCCCTGGCACAGGACTAGAACATAGCTTAGGGCCCTTTCTTCCTGACTCAGTCCTAAACAGGAGGAGGTGGCCCTTATCCCAAAGTCTGACCTTGCTCTTTGCTGCTGGGCGTCATTTCCCCCAGTCTGGGGCTGCCTCTTTGAGGGCATGGTTCAGCTCTGGACAGGGTGCTGTCCTCTCAGCCAGAGCCACCCTAGCTGGGGAGGAGGAGGAGCAGAACAGCAGAGCCGGAGAACCGTAGGACAGTCTCCCCTGCTCTGCACCTCACCCCATACTGGCTCCTGAGTCCCCTGTGCCCTTCACTTCCTGCCAGCTACCTGCTTCTCCTGCCATGCGGTGGCAGGAGGCTGGCCAGAGAGGCCTTTCTAGCCTAGAGCTGGTTTTCCCAAATTTTCCGTTACAGAGAGCTAGGCTTTTTGTTCAGGGAGTCCTGTTGCTTTTAACCCCCTGCTCCCCACTAACCCTGCTCACAGAACTTCACCAGGAGCTTGTCCTGTGGGAAGGGCTTAGGATAATGGAACAGGCAGATGGAGCACTGGCGCGCCTAGGACCTTATAGCAGATAGTTGTAAGAAGTGAGTCATTTTCTGAACTTGATTATTATGTAAACTATGGTCTAAATATTTCCTATCTAGAAAGTACTGTTGTCACTCTTACATTCTTATCCTTTATCTTCTTTCCCTATTCCCTTCTCTCACCTTTGCAGGGAGGGAAACTGAGGCACTGGGATGGAAGTGGTTTAGGATTAAGTTTCTAGGCTTCAAGTACAAAGTCAGAAGGCCCAGGTCTGAATACCAGCTCTGCCACCTACTAGCCATCAGAGAGTCACTTGACCTTGCAGAGCCTGTTTCCTCTTCTGTCAGTTAGAGCTAATACCACAGAATCTTACTGTGAAGATTAAGTGAGAAAATAGCTATGACAGTTCCAAGCACACAGTAGATATTCTTTAATGCTTCTTTCCTTCTGTCTGTCTATAATCCTGATCATCCCCCACATTTGTTCTTGTTGGTTCACAGTGCATTTCCCACCCCACCTGTCAGGCTGATCCCTGAGCAGAGCTGTCTCCCCTGAGTGTCCTCCACTGTGCTGCCAGAGAAATCGGTGTCCAGGCCGTTCAGCTGTGGGCCTTGGCCGTGTACATTTATCCTCAGAGAATGATGGCTATTCCCCATTGTTGTGGGCTGGGTTTAGACAGCCAAGAAAGACAACCCAAGAGGCAGTAAGAAGGTTGAAGGGGCCTGGCCATCTCTTTCCTCAGATCTGGATGGTGTCCCAGGACCAGGGAATGGCCATCGGTCCTTGAGTCCTGTAGGAGTGTGAGCTCCTGCCTTTTGTCCCTGGTTACAGACCTCAGTTATTTTTTTCCGGTATCAAGGGAAACCTTCTCCCTAGGAGATGTGGGGCAGAGAGAGGGGGTGTGGTGATGGGGGAGTGCATTGTGGGATGGCATTATGGCATATTGAGTGCATCAACATGACCCCAGCTGCAGCTGCTCCAAATTCCCCTGGGTGTTGGTTTATGTGGGCTGTAAACCCTCCTAGCGTATTTCCCAGGGCGCCTGGGGGGTGGAGGTCTAGCCTGGTTACCCAAGTGATCAGTTCGGGGTGGCTCCTCTGGACCGACAGGTAAGGAATTGGAGGCAGATGATCAGCAAGGTGCTCGCTGCCTACTCTTTGGGTCTCCAAAGCAGCAAGAGAGATGGAGGCAGAGTGAGTGGAAGTAAAAGCCTTCCCAAACTTCGTCACACACCCCACCTTCCTTTGGCTGGGTCAGGAGTGGAAGGTTCCCTTCTTTGCTCCTCTGTGAGCTGACCGGCTGCAGCAGGTCACCTCCAGTTGTCTGCGGACCATGGCCTACCTTGACCCGGGTTCTGTGAGAGGGCCCTCATGTCTCCGTGTCCGTCCAGCTTCTGCATGGAAGAGGGCAGTGCAGGTTTGCTTTCTCGCTGAGCTCACAGCCTGCTCTGGCCAGAAGGTGTGAGGTCCAGCTTCTTTCCATTCCCCTTGCCATGGTGTCCTCTGGTGTGGGCTAAAGAATGGACAGTAGCTGCTATCCCCTCTACTTAGGAAAGTCTCCTGTCCCAATGGCGCCATCTTGAAATTCATAGGGGTATTTCTGGGCAATGTTAAGCCAAGAATCCTCAAAAAAAGTAGCTACTGTGGACTGTTGAGTGAGCAAAGCTACAGGAGTGTTGGAATTCTTTGTGTTGGAAATGGCTTTTTCACTTGGATCAGGAATGGCTCCATTCAGATCAGTCGGGTTTGGAAATTCCCTAGATAGTAATTAGACTTTTTGGAAAATGAAATCTGAGAAAAATTTCAGCCACTCAGTTTAAATCATGGTTAGTTGCAATATCACAGAAAGGATCTTGGAGTTAGAGGCAGACCCAGGTTCAAATCCCAGTTCTGTGTTCACAGGCAAATCATTTAACTTCTCCGAGCCTCGGTTTCTACTACTTACCTTGCAGAGTTCATGTGAGAGCACTTTGGAAATTGTAATACATCTAACCATTAACATATGGACAGTTTAACACTTTTGGAAGTGGGTTAAAAGATGATTTTAGGATTTTGCTTGGCTGGGGCTTTCTAGTTCTTGGGGAGCTCTTTTGGAAGTTGTACCCAAGGTGGTGTTTGCATGGTTTATTAACTAGCAGCTTCTTTGCCAGCAGCCAGGAGCTCCTGACTGTTTCCTGACCCTTTGGGATGCTCTTCTTGTTAGCGAGTGGTTTTCTGGAGCTCAGACTCTGGCTAATGAGGTTGTTCAGGCTTTAGATGGGGCAGCCCTGGGCAGGAGCCCCAAGAGATTCACCATAGAGTGAGAAGGGTCCCTATGGAGCCAGCCTCTGTCCCAGAAGTGGGAGGTCCACCTAGGACATGCCTGGAGAAGAGTGAGGCTGGGGGAGGGGCTGTCGAGAGCCGCTGTGCGTGAGAGCCAGTACCGGGGCTTGGGGGCCTCGTGTTTGCTCTGTGGCTGGCTCTGTTTATATCGCTCGCTATATTTAGCTTCTGAGTCATCAGCGTGGCTGACTAGAGGCCGAGTTCCCCACACAGCTC